GGTTGGTGGGGGGTAACCCGTTGTAACATCTCGCCCGACCGCCACTATTGCATTGTATAATAGTATTTAAACATTTGCAATAATATTTCACTTTGAACCAGCCAGTTTACCTATATTCCCGTACTCGAAGTTTCGATAGCAACACTTTTCTCAGAAAACGTCCAGTACTAGGGGACATAACTCCATTTAATCACCGGCTACTTTTCAACAGCTCATACAAATTTGTCGATAGGTTGGCTCATTGGTATCATGTGATGTCGTGGTGTCACCCTTCATAAGGCGACAACCCGACAATACGACATCACGACATTTTAACCCGACACCACGACAACCGGACAATTCGACATTTTAACTCGAAAATACATTTTCAGCCGAAAAAATGACATTAAAAATGTCGTAATGTCGCGTCAAAATGTCGTATTGTCGGGTTCAAGTGTCGTGATGTCGGGTTGCCGGATTGTCGTGGTTCCTCGAGATTTTGCAGTGTGGTTTCTCCCTGTCGGTAGTGCAGGACAAAGGGCCTGACAACGTACAGTGTCCAGTTGTTTAGATCGGACATAACAACAAGCTCCTGTGTACACATTGGCGTGCACGTAAAAGAATCCTTCACAGTTAGATTTCGATGAAGAAATACCACGGTCCATTGAAAATTTCCGGCATAGCACTCTGCATAGCGCATGCCCCGTATCTTCAATAGTCCGAATGGCACAGAAAAGTAGGAAAAGTGAATGAAATGAAATAGGGTTTAACGTCCAACTGTAGAGGTTAATCATATGCATACGGGCTAGATGAATGTTGGGGGGGGGGGGGATTTGACGACCGCAAACGCGTTTTCCTGCTATTCCAGCCCGTGAATAAAACCACCTCAAAGGCATCTCTTCAATAGGGGGCTTGATCACACTTTAACACCGTACATCTTATCAAACCCTTCCCGATTGGCTACTGTCCCAGTTGGTGAGCCTATCAGATTCCTTGACCATCAGGAATACCAAGCCTCGCGCTTTCCAGCTAAAGTGTCTACCTGTGATAATTGAGTTGCAAAGCTCCTTCAATGACAAACTTTCCGTGGCGTCGCCTTGTTTGATTTGAGTGTGTTTGTATCATAACCTCGTTCACTTGTCTGCGTTAAAGGGAGATAAAGTCGCTATAAGTTTGGGGATTAAAGACCAGTCTTCTAGCAACGTCTAGATGTTGTAAAACTCGCGATTGTTGCTTCAGGAACATGAATTTAGGTGGCTGATTCGAATTCCAATCAACCAATCAATCGTTTATAGGTCAGAGACGGGATCGTCGGGAAAAATTTTGAAAATTTAATTGCCGCAAACGCGTTTTCCTGCTATTCCAGCCCGTGAATACAGTAACTCCACCGAGGTCCAATAGCTTACTTTGGGTGGCTGAACCCAATCCCAATCAATCGTCGCGGGGTATGGGAGCCTCGCCCTCCAGGGGAAAATTTTGAAAAAGTAATCGCCGCAAATGCGTTTTTCTGCTATTCTAGCCCATGAGTTAAAAAACTAGAATGGGTTTGTAACCGAAATCCCACTCAAGGCCGACCCGAATTTCAACCATCCAATCAGACTGTTGCAGCTACATTCGCAAATGCGATTTAATGAGTCTCAAATATTAACTTTTTTCCATCGACAAATTAAATTCTAAAACATTTTTTTGATGTATTAGAAAAATAAATAAAGACATTTGACGTATTTGTAGGTAAAAACTATTTCCTATTTATGTAAATGGGTTTTAAAATGATTAAAAGCAGCATTCTGCCCGAAGCAGTAATGTCTTATATAAACAATGCTCACGCCATTCAGCCAATGATTGACGCAGCGTGCTGTGACGGCACGTGTTAAAGGCAGTCATCTTTTACAGAGATATTAGAAAACTCGTAATTCTCTGTGAAACAGATTGGGATAAGCCAATGAAGAAGTCTGTTACGGCGACTTCTTGGCGTGCCATGCACGGAACTGTAGGTAAACCACTAGAAACGCCAACGCTGATTGATTAATCAATGTCTGACATCATAGGTAAAAAAAAAAACGCTTGTACGACCCCTGACACAACCTTCGAGTACAACTTGTCAGATCTTCATGTAGTGTAGGTCATCGAAAGTATAAAAAAAAACGAAACGAAATATAGATCTGTGTTTTAATCAGATTGGTTTTGGGCGGTTTCAATTAGTGACTTGTACTTAAGAGTAACTCGGCATTTTTGTTGAAATCAAAGGGTGATGGCATTGGGTGTTTTGGCCAATATTTAATTTTATGCCAACTTCAGTATTGCCATTGGTAGTATAACTATAGCATTTACTTGACAATTATGACGATTTTCATCAGGCTCTAAATCGAGTTTGTGCAAACATTTTTCTTTGAACTCTCGGATTTTTGTTCCAGGTGTTATAAGCTTTCCAAAATTGTCGAGTTTGTTTAGATGGGAGATGCAAGATGCGAAATTGTGTTCTAAAGATAAGCAAGCTAGAAATTCTGGCTGCAGGCCTATTGTAAAGGGTAAATATTTGTATGACATCCTTATTATATGGCATGGAAGAGCCATAAGCAGTGTTAACGCCTGCTGACAAGGAAATTGCGCCTAGAGGTGGGATATTATTAAAATGTGGCCATGTGTACGAAGTCGTTGCATGTAAAATATAACAAGACAAAGCCCAGGTAAAATTATTTCATTATTTTAATAAATTGAATTTGCGGTGTCGTGTGTGTAGGTATATACATTACTGGTGCCATTGTCGTGTTATAAAATAAATTATCTTGAGTATTTTTTAGATTAAACTGATATCACCTGCAGGGATTTCAACTGCAGTGTTTAAGGATGCAATTTGCCATGGAAATAAAAGCTGAGGTCTTGAGCATTCCTAGATAAATTTCATGTTTGAATTATTTTAAGGTTATTCGATTATTGTAGAGAATGCAATTTTGTACGTCACAGTGGCGGTGCCAAGATCATCAATTACCAGGGTTAGGGGAACCCCAGAAATTAAAAACAAATCCCCGCAAAATGCGCGATTTTGAGTTTATTGGGAGAAATATACTATTCAAAAAAAGTAGGGGATATTTGATTTTTAAGTGTTATTAAAGTCACCTAATGAAACTGACGAAGAAACAAATGACAAAATGAAATGAAGTTCACATTCATCGATTTATTCCAAATGATCGTTAGACTAAGTAAGGCACAGACTGACCATTATAAGGGTAAAATGATACCCGGGGTCAAACAGCAAAGTTACCACAGCATCACAACCAAGTCAGTAACGGCTAAATCCTCCTCTGTTTGCCAAACAAGCATTGATCCGACGTGGCATACTCCTAATGAGACGTCTATGGTCATTTTGGTCCAGATTGTCCCATTCCTGTTGCAACGCAGCAGCAAGTTCTTGGACATTGGCAGGACGTTGTTGACGTTGACGTAACCTCTGTCCAAGCATGTCCCAGACATGCTCGATGGGGGAGAGGTCGGGACTCAGTGCTGGCCAAGGTAATGTGGTGATGTTCTGTTGTTGGAGGTAACCTGTAACGATCCTGGCCCTGTGACATCTTGCGTTGTCATCCTGGAAGATGAAACGGCGGCCATGACGTCGTGCGAACGGCACAACATGGACTGCCAAGATGTTGTCCCGGTAGTACTGGCCTGTAACACGCCCTGCAACAACATGTAAAGCCGTTCTTCCAGCAACAGTGATGCCTCCCCACACCATAACAGAACCACCCCCAAATCGATCATGTCTGATGACGTTAACGTCTTGGAAGCGCTCGTTTCGACGACGCCACACCCTCCTACGTCTGTCCAAAAAATCAACAGTGAACCTTGACTCATCTGAAAACATCACATTGCTCCAGCGTCGATTATCCCAGTGTTGACGGTCCCTACACCAACGACGTCTTGCCTGAATGTGATGATCTCTCAAACAAGGGATCACGCGAGGACGTCGGGCGCGAAGGTGACCCCTATGCAGTCGATTCCGAATCGTCTGGCCACTCACTCTCACACCAGTGTCTGTTTGAAGACGAGCGCTGATCTGATTTGCTGTGATGACACGATTTCTCAAGGCCAAGGTACGGATAAATCGATCCTGGGCTTGAGTTGTCGCCCTTGGTCGACCTGAGCGTGGTCTGTCCTGTACAGATTGTGTATCACGGTATCTGGACCATAGCCTGCTTATGACAGACTGAGAAACATTCATCGTCCGCGCCACAACCGCCTGTGTTGTGCCGATCTGTAGCATGCCAAGGGCACGTAACCTTTCATTTTGGGTAAGCCGACGCATATCAAAATTTGTTTTCTGGTCACTAAAACAATTAAACTGATGTTTCCACCCTGGAATTCAATGCCACAATGACTGTAACATTCAAAGTCAGAGTCGTGCAAATCTTGGGTTGGACCCCCATGATGATCCCAAGCATCACCTGCATTGGTGCGTTTGGGCGTCACATGTAACTGGAAATGTTTCTTCTGTTAGGTTCTATAGTGACTTTTTTCGTAGTCATTTGCATATTTTAGTATTATGCCCCCAAAATCAAATATCCCCTACTTTTTTTGAATAGTATAATTGGATCTTACCATCGATCAAAAAGGGGGATAATTATATGTATAGGCTACTGGCCCACCATCCAATCTCGGTATTATTTTATTTTTCATTAAGGGAAGTGAGGTGTTAGTTGTATGTCTGGTTACACTAAATATTTTTCTTATAAAAAAATGTAGCTGATTGTCATTTAACGATAAAATTCAGCGGGTCATGTAAATCTCATGTAGTGTAAATTATTTGGAGGAAAATTACTATGTTTAATGCTAATAATTGAAACAAAAAAGAACCCATAGCCACTGATTAAGAAATCTGGCATTTTTCTTAATATGCTTTCGCCCTAACAAAGAAGATGAGTCAAGATATTGTTCATCTTTTATACGCTATACTGTTTTTATCGATTTTTAGCATCGCCACAGAGATAACGGCAACAGTGTCTACTTCCCCTTTTACTACGAATGGATCAATCCAGTTAACTTCCGTCTACCGTTACAACCGAACGCGAGAAGGGCCGTCAAAATCTGAGACGTTTTCAAACGTAGATTGAATCACGGTGGAACGAAAATGCCTGAAGGTTTGGAAGAATTTTTCTCCAAGTATAAACTACACGAGGAATCAGTGAGCTACATGCGCAATACGGCACCTGGAATTCAGGGACATGGCTCCAGTTTTTCAGTGGATGAAGTCAGAGCATCAGCAATAGACTCGTCTAAAAAATATGGGGGAGAGGTTAAGTTTGAAGGCAGCGTTAAAGAATTTAAAGTTCCATCCTTTTCAACTTCAGGTAGACCATTTTATAATAGATGACAAATATTCTAAATATCTGTTTAGTATTAGTATTTAGGCCTATCACTGCTACATCGTAGGATAACTTATGCAATTAAGAACTATATACAATTATAATTATTGCTAGGCTAGGCATTGTCAAGGTTATTCTGATTCTTCTATAATTCTAGTAAAATTTGTATCTCATTATTTTTGCAACTATCACAGAAGTTATTTCTTTTGGATTTGCAAAAAATATTCCCCAGCAATGTTTTGACTATTACAGACACCATTATTGTAGTAGGGTCACCTGTCCAACGGTACCTCATGGGTTTTCTCTGGGCCCTCCGGTTTCCTCCCACTGCTGAAGACCTCTACGCGCAAGTGATTTATGGAATAAAAAAATTGAACCATATGTTAGTCCCGAAATGATCTAGTTTGTGTCGAGTGGACGTTAAACCCCATTTCTCTCTCTTTTGTGAATTAATATTTAGTAGTTTTTACCACTTGATAAACAGCTAGCATTTAACAAATTAATTAAATGCAGTAAGTATATGTTAAATGTGTGCATAAACTGGCTCAAGAGAGAGAGAGAAAAATCGGATTTAACACCCACTGGACACAAAGTTGGTCATTGAAGTACTAAAATATGGTTCTGTTATATGTCAATAATTTGCTTTAACAGTGGGAGGAAATCGGAGGAGCTAGACAGTCGACAGACCTTATGATCTAAAGTGCATGCACTAGGCCACACTAATACCTACTCCCCTAAATTAGGAGTATAATGTTGAATGTCTTAATCATTCAGAGACCGAGATATGCTTGCTCAGATTAATGACAGTCCACAGACCTTATGATCTAAAGTGCATGCGCTAGACCACCCAACCACCCAACACCCTCCTAAACCGAGAGTATTATTGCTGAATGTCTTAATCATTCAGACACTGAGATATTATCATGCAGGTCCCAAGGGAAAGGATCATTTAAATTTGTTTGGATTCCCCTCCCCACCCCTCCTCCCTCACCGTTTGAAGACCTGAATAAATGCACTGCATGTAAATAAACCTTTTCAAGAAAATTCAATTTTATACCATCTATCTATGATTATGTATTCTAGTCATGTCAACAGCTTTACTTGATATAAATAAATGGCAGACACTGAATGGGGGATAGATTGATTGAATATAAAGTGTAGAATAATTACATCCGTCTGGAGGTGATTTCACGTAACAAACATCATTACTTCCTCAACCATTAACTAAGTTTTTTTTACAAAAGACTACAGAAGTGTTCAGTAGAATATAAAGTTAGCCATTTACAAATATTGAGTTGGAAGGAATAACCCCAAACTGCAAAAAATTAGGAATCAATTTTAAATCAAATTTTTATTTTTAATTAATAATGCCCTATTGGAGAAGTCCTCCATCCCAATAACTCTGTTGTATGTACACAGTTTATTTCTCAAATCCCTGCAAAGGGTAATAATAGAGATAGTTTAACCTAGGTCATTTCAGGACTTAACATAATTATTATGTTAACATATCTATATTCATTTCAATAATTTGCTCACAGTTTTGCATAGATGACATTGTGACCTACAGTGCACACATTATACCAATTGTCTTAACCCCACCCCTTCCCATCCCACCCTACAAAGGATGATATAGCTTACTTATGTCTCTGAAATATACTGGCTTGGAATAATTGCAACTTGCTTGTATATTATGGAATAATAACTACTTCTATCATGAAATAACTCAATTGTCTAGGCTTTCAGGACAAAATATTTATTGCATAAATTTTGTGTTGATTAAATACATGTAGTCCTGAGTTCCCTTTTAACTGCACACCTGCAATTACAAATACAGGTAATTATCACTAATTGATTTATCAAATAATTCTAAGGAAATCACTAATCAAATATAAATTCATGTAGCTTGAATTGATGTAATTATATATCAATTAATAATGTATTCACAAACCAAGTTGTATTGATTTAACAATCACTGATATTGATATGTTCATCTGATGTGTGGAATAGGTTTACAAGTTTTGTAAACATGATAAAGATAATTTAGTTTTTGGTGCACTAATGGAGGAATTTTGCCAGAGCATCAACTGAATTTGACTGTTTTGTTCAAGCATTTGCCCAGATCTTTTTTTATTGTAATAGTTTGATATTGTTTGTGTACAGGGTTTACAGTTCTGTTATTACTGGTATATTTATATAGGAAATAAGCAATTTTGTAGGATACAAATTATATAAACAAAAAGTTTGAGTGAACTATGACCAGGAACCGAGTATGACATCATCACAGCCATTTTGGAATTGTGATGTCATCAAAAATCGAAGTCTGTCAATTGATGCAAAATTGTCCAAGGAACAAGTATGTCAAGTTTCTTGACGATCTTCCTTGAATTGGTGGAGCCGTAGGCCTTTTCCGAAGAGCGTCGAAGAACAACAAGTTATCCCTTATGATTTGGGACAATTTTGATGTCATGCGCTATATAAATCGAACAATAATAATAATTTATCATAAAACTGATTTGATAGACATGATGTGTAGCTAGAAATGACATGGCCCTGGTATAGTTTCCTTGAAAGAGTAGCAGAAAATGATACTGCCCTAGCAAATCTTTTCCTCATTTATTTATTATGTAGTTTTGTTTCTAAATGACTGGCCAGATGCTCAACTAAAGACATAGATTTTACATGAATTATAAATATCAGAGGACATATAGCTGGGTGGTATAATATGAGAAGGGTGGTTCTATTAATAGTAGTTTAGAGATTTACACTGAACAGGAAACATTTCAATGAAATATTTAAATATTTATATGTACTTGAAACATGAAGCTAAGCTTATAATATATCAATATTGAGCTATGGTTGTGTGGAGTTATTACATACTACATGTGGGGTTATGACATACTATTAAATCTTTTAAACTGCCACATCTGTCAAATACAATGTTTGAAAACTCTTACTTTTAAATTGGTTGGTAACTTTCAATAAGTGACATTATCAAGAGTTAAACATTGGGCATTTTCCTAAGGATAATGCAAGTTGTGGATCTTAAGCAGTTAGAATTTCTGAATTAATAAATTATTTAACATTTAGTATGATGAAAGGCTGATTTATAATACAGCAAATTATTGCAACATAAATGGACTCATTGCAACTTTACTATATGCATTATGTGTGTTTGAATAATAATATGTCTAGATTGTAATCATTCAAATACCTATCTGAATGATTTATCAGTTGCTCTTATCGTATGGGATAATATTACCATACATTGTGTTTTGTATAGATAAATATTGAACCAAAACGAATAGCTGTTCGAATCTGCTGCTATTAAAGATGCATTATGTAAGATTTAGATATAATAGTTCAAAAATAGATAATAACAAATGTTTATATTGAAAATTTCAAATTACTTCATTCTGAGATAAGTTATGTCTGTTTCAAGATATAGAGTAAATTGTTCATTATTGTAGCAGTGGTATTTGACAACTGAGAATTAGCCTCGATTGTCCATTTTATAATAACATTTTTAAATCTGGCAGATGTTTAAATCCATTTTAATCTCTTGAGCTTGACATGTTAATAAATATCTAAATAATATTTTATATAACATTTGAAGCCAAAAGAAAGATCTACAATAGACAAATTTAGCTCTTGCTCAATGCATCTTTAATAATAAATAATCTATTATATTTTAACTACACCTTATTTTGTCTAGAATAATATACAGGAATGAACAATTAAAGATACATTATGGGAGATTCGATAACGAGTTGGCTGTTCTCACTATAATAATTAAAAACTAGATAACGCAAAGACAATTTGCTGATAATTTCATTCAAATTGATCCACTATGAACCGAGAACTAAGCGAAGGAAATTTCTGCCTAGCCTGGGTCATCATTACTAAAGTCAGTACGTTAAACAGCATAGTCTCGATTATCCATTTAATCGTTTAATCGAGAGGGAAAGGTTATGCAGTAAATCAGATCGCAATCCACTTAAGATCGCAGGCTAGCGATGCCATCTAGAGTTGATTATGGTCTGGATAAGTTATTTAATGTCTAATTAATAATTAAGATAACATTTCAGGCCTAAAGAAAGACCTGCAATAGACAGATTTAGCTCTTGCATAATGTATGTTTAATTCATCAGCAAATTTTTATTTTTGATAAAAACAATAAGCACATAAAACACAAAAATCAAAAATAGTTATAGGCATGAGTCCACAAGTGATTATGGTCATGGACATTCCACCTTTGAGGAATAGTTGCAGATGTCCACCAAACTTATATTCTCAGTAGTGAGGATGATGTAAAAAAATCCTTCCTGACCTCCATTTCTCTCCACCTTCTTCTAGAGTTAAGGCTATAGATCATCAAGCTTTTAAATGTGCATGGGGAATCACGGTATATGTTCAGGGTTGAACACATGACTATTATTACATCATAAATCTTATGATCTACGTCGGACATGTAACCCACCCCACTAGACTGGATAACCTGCTCTAATACAATGTACGTCAGACTCGCTTCTATGTCACTCCTTTAGCGCAGTGACGTAGGAACCAGTCTGACGTCATTTAGAGCAGGTTATCCAGTCTACCCACCCCCCTCACATACCAGAGGAAGTGGGCTGTCTGCAAAAATAATACTTACAAATTTAGTGTTTGTTGACCTATATAATTTGATGTTCAGTATTTGCTTGATGTTATTTTACAGAGGGTGTTCCTGTGACAGTGATAAAGTTGCGAACATGTAAGCCGAGGACACCTATTGTTGTATATTTCCATGGAGGAGGTTTCGTCGCTGGTTCTAGAGAAACAGATGAACCCATCACCAAACAACTTGCTAGGTACAGTAAAATTTGTCACAGAAAATGTGTATTATAGACTTATAATACAGACACACTCACACGCAAATTAAATCATTTTAGGACTAACGTATGGTTCAATTTTATTTTAATAGTTTGCTTGCATGTAGGGGTCTTTAGCAGAGGAAACCGAAAGATCATGAGAAAACCCCTGAGGCTATGCTCACGTGCAAATGTGGGATCAAAACAACACCACTTGACTCAGTGACAGACCTTATGATCCAAATCACACACCTGTTAGACCATTCAGCCACCTATCCCCCCAGACTTGTAATGACAGGATCACATGTTTAAAGGTATCAAGGTCAGGGAAATAGAATAAGATCTTTTAAAAATGATGTTAGAGAATATTATAGGTGTTGTACATGTAGTTATATCATGTTGGTACTAATACATATGAATGCCTTTTCCTGTGACTTAGAGAAATGGAAAAACTAAATATTTAATGTGGTATTGCAAGGCTGATTAATTTTGTCAATATCTAATACTCTACGGCAATAATGTAATATATTCACTATATTCAGAGAAAAATGTCAAGTTTCCAATTAATATCAGGGGTGCAAGTAAAAGAATGCATGATGAGGAGGTGGACCTAGCATATGCACATGTGATGTCGATGACCATAGAAAAAAATTAACTATATTTTGCTAGTTTTTAAATAAATGAAGTATGCTGTTGACGAGATGTTCAACTCCATTGCTTTTATTGATTGTTAGGCAATAAGCAAATGTACATGTATGTTTGTCTGGGTGTGCAATGCAGGAAAGCAAACTGGTTATTATACTAGTAATAAATTATAACTAGGAGACTACAACTACATGGTGGGGGTAGGGGGATATCACTTAGTGAATAGGGCTGGTTTGTATACGCCCACATTTTCGGATCAAGACATTTTCTGACAAAATGGCCACTCCCCTTTACGAAAATAGTATAATAAGCATGTAATACCAAGGTTGGGAACCCTCTAGATGTCACAACTTTTGTATGATTTTGATGAAACTTGAAATATATGTTTATGCATGGGTGGATCCAGAGAGGGAGGATAGGGAGTCCAAACCCCTTCCTGCTCGGCTACATAAAAAAATTGTAAAACGAAACTTGTTATGAGAAAAGTGTCATGGTCGTGTGCTTTATCCTTTATCGGACATTCAAAACGTGAGATAATGATACAGGCATATGTGATATTCTTTGCATCAATGGAATTGAATCACAATGTCATCGTATTAATTAATTCTTAATAAGAATTGAAGTCAAAGAGGGTTTTGGATTTCTATCTTTAAAAGGCCGCTAAGTGTGTATGTTTAGAAATACCTTAGAATGTTTGTTCTTTGAAATTTATGTTGTAAATAATCATGCTAGATTATTTCCAAATTTGAGAAAACTTTCACATTAAAATTTAATTTTGTAACCACATTATGAAGATTCTTGGCCTTATTTACATTTATTATAGAGAAGGAGAATGTATAATTGTGAATGTGGAATACCGATTGGCACCAGAAAATAAATTCCCTGCACCATTTGATGATGCCAAGTGTGTCTTGAGATGGGTTATTATGAACAAATCACTTATTGGTAAGTGAATAACATTTCAATCTGTGACGGGGAACTGTGAAAATTAATTACAATGTGCAATTCTATGCTGCCAAATTAAATTGTCGCAACAATTCATTTTCATTGCATAATTTAAAAAGATAACATCATTGGGGCATTATGTAAGATTTAGAGAAAGAACTGTTTGTCCTTGCTATAATACTTCAAAAATAGATAATGAAAAATGAATACATTGAAAGTTTCAGTCAAATTACTTTATTCTGAACGAAGTTATGAATATATTGAGTTATGAATGTTTGAAGTTTTTACAAGAAATAATTCTTGATTGTCAAGTACCATAGTAATAATAATCAACAAAGTTCTTTCATCAGCAGTCTCCAGCCGTATTCGCATTTAATGCAGATATGTTGGGCATTGTCTAATCCAATCAATATCTAAGCCATCCGATAGTCTAGAGAGTTGATTATGGGCTTGTCATGTGAATAAATGTCTAACTAATAATTTATGTAATGCAAGATTAGCTCTCACATAATGACTCTTTAAGCTATATTTGGTGTCTGCCATAGATACACACTGTATTGTCAAGGTAATGTATGTCTTGAAATGGGATCGTATGTTGTCATCACTCCAGCATATCCCTCTGATCATTATCCGATTGACGTTAAAGATCATGAGATTTCATCTGTTTCTGATAATTACTGTCAGACTCAGAGCTATGGCCCTTGACCAATTCGAAAGATCTTGTGTACTATATATAGAGGTGTCTTCCAATTAATTTCAGATAATTACATGTACTGTTGGAGCTATGGCCCTTGATCAATTTGAAAAATGTTATGGATGCTAAGATGTTAAACTTATCATGTAATTGATTTGAAATGTGTACAGTGTTTAGTTTAATGAGACACCTATTACGATAACACAAACCCATAAATACAGTTCTCATCTATTTATCCGTACATGTTTTGTATGATATATGTTAGCACTAGGAAGAACTAGAAGCCAATAAAATTTTGATTATTTCTGATAATTATTTTATGGGATGTTACTCTTGATCATTTGTCTTCTGAATGCTCTCATTATCTACTAAAGAATAAATATGTTGCACGCTTGGTGGGCACATGTTTCGTTGCCTGGCAACCTATCGTCATTATAACTGGTATTGACTGTTCATTGAGTCATATCAATACAGATAATTCTACCCGGTAAGTGCTGAAAAGAACACATTTGTTCAGGAGAAAATTTTAATGCTTTGAATCTTAAAACAGGGAGTAGTCTGATTTTTAAAGGCTAAGAATGTAATCGGGACATACTGTTTATTCATTCTTGTGGTTGTCCAAGGTATTTGTGAATTTTTCAGTGATTTGATAGATTGTTTAATGATTATTATTTTGTTTTACCAGGTGGTATGAATGATAGTAAAGTTGGTGTTTTAGGAGTTGGTGTAGGTGGAACTATAGCGGCTACAGTTTGTCAGGAAGTTCCTAGAATAGCTTTCCAGGTAATGCTACAAAATACTTTTTTTTTATCTTCAGATGAGGTTTGGATAGAAGCAAGCCAGGAGTTTATCTACAATTAATACTTTCTTGATTAAATGTTACATAATCAATTTGAGTAGATTTTAGCATGGATTTAACCATGAAAATTAACCTAGTTATTGTCTGAAAAATGCACAACCATAGTCAACTTGTATTGCATATTTTAGTTAACAATGATATGACCCTGATTTTCAAAAGCAATATTAACAAGCCAACAGTGAGGCTGATGTCCCCCGCCGAAATCCCAAAATAGATATTAATTTAATCGCACATTTATTTTTATACGCCCACATTTTCATGTGGACGTATTATGCCGTCGCCCCTGTCCGTCCGGACGTCCACAATTGTTTGTGGACTCTCTACAGGTCACAATTCTTATCCGATTTTGACGAAACTTGAAATATAGGTTTATCCCCAAAAGATCTCGGCTGCTTTCGATATTGGAATGTATCGGATCGAAACTTCATGGATTATGGCCCCTGATTGTACGAAAAATCACGTTTTTAGCTTGTGGACCCTATAGAGGTCACAATTTTTATCTGATTTTTTTGAAACTTGAAATGTAAGTTTATAACCCAAAGATATCGGTTCCTTTCGATCTTCGCGTATATCGGACCGTAACTTCCTGAATTATGGCCCCTGATTGTACGAAAAATCGCGTTTTTAACTTGTGGACCCTATAGAGGTCATGATTTTTATCCAATTTAAAAAAACGTATTATTATATCACCGTTACACCCTAAGGAAGGTTGAGTTCGAATTTCGTGAAAATTGACCCCAAATTGACAGACAAAATGGCCGCCGTTCGTTCTCAAATAGCGTAAAAATATGGTATATATCAAGGTTGTGGACCATATAGAGGTCACCATATTTATCCAATTTTGTTGAAAATTGAAATGTAAGTTTATAACCCAAAGATCTCGGTTCCTTTCGATATTCGCGCATATCGGACTGTAACTTCCTGAATTATGGCCCCTGATAGTACGAAAAATCACGTTTTTAGCTAGTGGACCCTATAGAGGTCATAATTTTTATCCGATTTAAAAAAACCGTATTATTATATCACCGTTACACCCTAAGGAAGGTTGAGATCGAATTTCATGAAAATAGGCCCAAAATTGACAGACAAAATGGCCGCCGTTTGTTCTCAAATAGCGTAAAAATATGGTATATCAAGGTTGTGGCCCCTATAGAGGTCACAATTTTTATCAGATTTTTTTGAAACTTGAAATGTAAGTTTATAACCCAAAGATCTCGGTTCCTTTCGATCTTCGCGCATATCGGACCGTAACTTCCTGAATTATGGCCCCTGATTGTACGAAAAATCGCGTTTTTAGCTTGTGGACCCTATAGAGGTCATAATTTTTATCCGATTTTAAAAAATGTATTATTATATCACTGTACACCCTAAGGAAGGTTGAGTTCGAATTTCATGAAAATCGGCCCAAAATTGACAGACAAAATGGCCGCAGTTCGTTCTCAAATAGCGTAAAAATATGGTATATCAAGGTTGTGGACCCTATAGAAGTCACAATTTTTATCCGATTTTGTTGAAACTTGAAATGTAAGTTTATAACACAAAGATCTCAGTTCCTGTCGATCTTCGCGCATATCGGACCGTAACTTCCTGAATTATGGCGTATCCTGTCTGGCAGCCGCTGGTTTTCAAAAGTATCGAGCAAAGTTTCATCACTCTCTATCAGATAGAATCAAGGTTATCTTGTCCCAAAGCAATGAAATTGCTTAGCTCTGCTTAGCTTTACCTCGAAATGTTAATCATTGAACTCAGTCAAGACATTCACCTAATGTACATCTACCTCAAGTTTAAACATTCTACCTCAATTAAAAGCAGAGTTGTTATGTTCCAAAGTCTTCACCAATCAAATTGCTTATCGCTCCTTAGCCTAAGCAGAAAATTCTCACCATCGAACTTAGTCAAGGTAATGATATAATGAAACTATATTCGGAGTTTCATCGCTCTCACTTCATTATAACCAAAATTATCGTGTCCCAATTATCGTGCCCCAAAGCATCAACCAGTCAGATTTCTTATCTATGCTTACCATAAGCAGACAGTGTTCATCATCAATCTCCATCAAGGCATTCACTGAATGATCGCCTACACCAAGTTTGGACATTCTACCTCAATTAGAAGGAGAGTCACTGTGTTCCAAAGTGCTCATTATCGAACTTAGTCAAGGTATTGATGTAATGAAACAATACATCAAATTTCATCACACTGAGTTAATTATAACTAAAGTTATCATGTCCCAAAGCATCGACCAATCAAATTACTTATCTCTGCCAAGGCATCGACCTAATAAACACCTACACAAAATTTGAACATTCTAGCTCAATTAGAAAGAGTGTTATTGTGTCCCAAAAAGTGTGACAGACAGACAGACAGACAGACGAACCCATTTGAATAGTCCCCACCATTTGATTTGTCCCCTGCTTTCTTCGAAAGGCGGGGACAACAAGCAATTGAAATTTGAGTAATATTGATTTTAGGAAACAATGATATGACCCTGATTTTCAAAAGTAATATTAATATCTTTTAAAAGAAAAAAAAAAACTTTTTTATTTCAGATATTAGTGTATCCACTGTTGGATTTGAGATTTGGTCAACCCAGTTGTCAGGAATTTTCTGATGGTCCATTGACAGCTAAAAAATTTCTTGAATGGTAAGATTTTCTTTATTTTTCAAATGCACAAGATTTTTCACATCTAGCACTTAAAACAGTTTTTGTGCATAAGATTATTTTTGATTTGTGGTCAGTATTTAAATAGAAATTGCCAATTTGTGGGCTTGTGATAATGTTATAAATTTTATGAATTGAAGCTGGCAAAGAAAATGTTTAAAACTGTTTTGGTATTTACAGGGGTACAACTTTGTTTTTAAATGATAATACAGAAAGTGAGAATCAGCGAGCATCACCGTTGCTTCGCCCATCGTTTACTAAAGTACCACCATTATTAGTTATTCTGGCTGATGTTGACCCTTTAAAAGATCAAGGTTATGGTGAGTTATATATCTTTTCACTTTAACCTGTAATACTTCAAGTTGGATTACTCTAAAATATTTGACCAATAAAGTTGTGTTTCTATTAAATGAAATGAAATGGGGTTTAACGTCCTACTGTTCTGCTCCTAAACTGGGCTAATGAAGACGGGCATACGCCATACAGTGTGCTATGAGGGAAATTTTGCCCGGGCAGCGGCGCTACGAACTACTCTGCCAAGGGATCTTTTACGTGCACGCCAATATGTACATGGGACCTTGTTTTTTCATTCCATCCGAACGACTAGACAGCTGTCCTTGTCAGGCCCTCCGTCCTGCATCATTGAGAAGGGGAAACCACTCCACGTGATCCCCATGTTTCTATTAAATACTAATAACCAAAAAGCAACTTAGCAAACTATTCATCTCTCGGTAGTTTCCAAAAGAATCTATGAAGAAGTGGTGATATATTGTCGACAGCTGTTTGGCCCCTCAGCCTGTCCATCTAGACCTTCTTGTACTCACTCTACAATGTTTTTATTTCAAATTTTCAAGGAATAATTAGTAGTATTAGGGTAAAGATTCTTCCTCACTCACTCTACTAAGTTTAATTATGCACTGGTTTTTGCCAAATTTTCAGGAATAGTTTGTATTAATGTATGTAAAGATGGTTTCCATTCATTTTTAGCATTTTTACAGAATAAAAGCCCCTATCTGATTCCATTGTTTATAAACTTTCAGTGCTGTACTTGTATTCATTCAATTCTTCAACGACTGCCATTATCAAAGTTTTGGGGTAAAGATGATGCAGATTGATTTGGAGGGTTTTGTGTGATTGTTGATAAACACAGATTACTACACTCTCTCTACACAGTTCAGTTCTTAATTTCAATTGGTATTCAGGTCAAATTTTCTTGAAGTGCTGATATGGGGTACAGATGATCCATATCAATTTTTGAATATTGGTCCCCTAAGTTATATGATTGTTATTAAACCTACTTTAGCGTACTCTCTCTACAGTTTCTGTCTAATTCTGAACTGATTTTATTGCAATAAAGATTGATTTGGGGCTATTTCATAATGTAAGTTAGAGCGTTTATAAGATTGTTGATACACTTTAGTTACCAAACTCATTCTTATATTATGTTGTTAAGTTCTTGCACACAGTTTTGTCCAAATTTCAGGAATAGTTAGTATTGGGCTAAAGATAATTGTTGATCCATTGATTAAACGAGTTGATTTATTTTGTATCGTACTGTATTTACAGTACATACCCTAATCTCAAATTGGTTCAATTTTATTTCAGTAATTCACTTGCATGTAAGGGTCTTATCTCTTAGCAGTGGAAGTCTCAGAGTAAACCCCACAGGGTTGGATAGGCGACTCTACTCCTTGTCACGTACAGGCTTGGAATTAAAACTACGCCACTTGATGCAATGACAAACTTATCACGTTTGACCATTTGGCCGCTTAATCCCCTTAATACAAAATGGGCAAAATATCATGAGACAAAGAATCTTATATAGTGATGATGATGAAGCTCTAAAGCAGATGATTGTTATGATTATGTATTTTTTTTGTAGAATATAAGAGAATACTAAAAGATTCTGGAATTGATGCAGAAAGTCTTTTGGTGCGTGGATCTGTTCATGGCTTTTTCACTTTTCCAGGTAATATTAAGGATTCCATTTATGCTTTCTTTTTTATTAAATATAATAATGAGCATATTAATTCCATATCATACGTTGGTCTAATGACACATTATTTCAACTGTGCAAGGCCTCCAAAACTTCATGCTGAAAAAAATCCTCCACCTATTCATGGATCTATCAACAACTCCTTTCAACAAAACCACATGTAACTGCTCTTGAGACTTCTTAAACAAAAAACTTGCTGGGATTGTTTGTCCATCAATTTCATGTTAAGTTATGACCCTGTCCCCACAAAGTGATAGTCAAAAGGCCAGTGTATATTAGTTGCCTGTTTTATGTTATGCTTCATTTTTTTTATGCCCACATTGAAATGTGGTCGTATATCGCGTCGCCCCTGTCCGTCCGTCCGTCGTCCACAATTGCTTGTGGACGCTCTAGAGGCTAAAGTTAATATCCGATTGACTTTAAATTTATATACAGTGTTTAAGGCCATGAGACAAAGAAGCCTATTGATTTTCAGCGATTTCCGATAATTACTGCCAGAGTTATGGCCCTTGATCACTTCAAAAAATCTTGTGGACGCTCTAGAGGCCAAAGTTAATATCCGATTGACTTTAAATTTATACACAGTGTTTAAGGTCATGAGACGAAGAATCCTATTGATTTTCAAAGATTTCTTATAATTACTGCCAAAGTTATGGCCCTTGATCACTTTGAAAAATCTTCTGGACGCTCTAGAGGCCAAAGTTAATATCCGATTGACTGCAGATTGATACACAGAGTTTAAGATCTTGAGACGAACATGTATATTGATTTTCAATGAATTTTTATGACTTGGAACAGCTAAATTCATGATACAGTATTAAAAGATTTGTATACAAAACGTTAGCATGGGGCAGAACTTTATAAAAACCAAACAAATTCTAATGGTTTTCTGAGTTGTTGCTCTTAATCAGATTTTAGTGTATTATAAATGTTTCATTACCGAAAAAAGTAAAAATATGCGACAACTCTTGTTGACTGCCCGGACGATTTAGCTGCTGTGGGCGTATGTTTCGTTGCCTGGCAATCTATCTCCTCTCTTATTTTCAGGTCATTTTAAAGAACTTGGAGAGAAAGCTCAAGAAAAGGTTATTAACTACATCAAAAAACGTGGCGCCTCATGAAAAGTAGAGCAGTTTGTATCAATTTCATTATCCGCTTAATGTACTTTTAATTTATCATATCTACATAAAATAATAACCCTGGGAACACTCAAAGTCATGAAATATTTTCAGAAGAATATACAACTTCCTAATACATTGTAACTTCAATTCTAGACACAATTTGTGTTTTTTGAATCCAAAATTCCAATTAAATAATTTTGTTAAATTCCAATGAAGTAATTGTGTTAAATTCCAATTAAGTAAGCAGTTAGTTTAGAATCTGATGATATAGCTACAAGTCTTATATCGACAAAAAAAGCAAATTATAATTCAGTGAGATAAGTGAACAATTCGGATATCTTTACTTGAATTAATGAAAACAAGGTAACGTGTCAGGTTCCATGTTGTTGTGTTCATACATATAATGTTGTATACTACAGACCTCGTTATAACTGCCTGCTTTATACACACCTACTGCGGCTACATTCTCCCTGTTTCATGTTCTGCACCAGATTGAAAGATCTTTCGTGAAAGTGTGGCAATCGTCCACAGAGACCTGTAAATATTTAGGAGATATGAGCATATTATGTCTAAAGAAAGATTGCTATTGGATGAGATATATGAGAGGCATGTGAGAGCGGTGTCTGTGATTCTCCTAAAATGGGGAAAGGCGAACACTAAAATAGTACTTATAATGTGACTTGATAATTGTGATTCCTTTTTTTCCCACATATTTTTTATACGAATATAAGAATTAGAACTACCAGGAAATTCACAACGAAACGAAGAAATGTCAGCATATGTTTTAAATGCCATTTAAAGACATGTCTTCTATTCACTTAATTCATTAAATATTCGCTTATATGTTTTAATAATTCTGTGCTGATCAAATAATAATTTTCGACCAAAATTAGATTTCAAGAATTAGTAACGCATATAAGCGAATATTTAATGAATTAAGTGAATAGGAGACATGTCTTTAAATGGCATTTAAAATATATGCCTTCTCGTATTATCATCACATGGTATTTCTTCGTTTTGTTGTGAATTTTCCAGTAGTTCTAATTTTCACAGCAGAACAAAAAATAGGAATCCTGATCATTAGGTTACATTATTCCTATTTTTTTTTGTGTTCGCCAATTCGCTGTTTTAGTGTTACAATAGATTTTCAACCAATCCCCCTCTTATCAGAACATGAGGTTTGTAGAATGTGGTTGTATTGTAATTTATATGATATATTTCATTGCTGTTTGCTTTATTTGGTAACTGCTGCTAAAATAACCTCTGCCAAATTAATTATGCCTTTCATTCAAACTCTTAGTGAAAATTAGAAACCAGAAATATGCACGCTTTAGAGAGAGAAATGGAGAGAGACAGAGAAATGGGGTTTAATGTCCACTCGACACAAACTAGGTCATTTTGGGACTAACATATGGTTCAATTTTATTTCAATAATTTGCTTGTGCGTAGGTGTCTTTAGCAGTGGGAGAAAACCACGAGGTGGGAAAGGCTACCTTACTCCTTATCACGTACAACCGGGGAATCGCTACCACACGAGTTGACTCAATGACGGACTTTATGATGCAGCGCGACGCGCTAACCATTTGGTTTAACATTCATTTGACACAAACTAGGTCATTTTGGGACAAACATGGTCCAATTTTATTTCAATAATTCTCATGCGCGTAGGGGTCTTTAGCAGTGGGGGGACCTGGAGAAAACCCACGAGGTTGGACTGGCAACCCTACTCCTTGACTCAGTGACAGACCTTATGATTTCATGCACATGTTAAACCACTAGAACCCCCCTCCCCCCCCATTAATTTTAGTGTTGTAGTTTTGGTTACAATGCCCAATACATTGCCATTTTCATTACATATATGTGCTACTATCACATTTATTTTTATCATATGTACTTGCCAGTATATATCACTGCCAAATCTCTATTTTATAATTATTGTTTAATATGCTTTTATTTTCTGATAAATGAAAAACAAAAACAATCAAATCATAACTTTTTCATTGTTGCTGATTAGAGCAATGCAATAGTCCCTTGAAAATGTGCTCAAGTCAAGCTCACCCGAAAAGGGTTTAAAAGAGATAGTTTGAACTGTGTCAGTACCTCGGATGCTGGAGCTGACAAGTCGCCTTTCTAGTATGTGTGGGTAAGAAGGTGAGGGTCTAAGAGAAGAGAACATGCCCTCATTGTAGAGACATGTTAGAGTAAGATATTTGTGATACAAAGTCTGGATGTGGGGTATTTTCATATATTAAATGGTGAATATATTATATAATGCTTATTTGATATTATATTATCATTATTGTTATATTAGTAATATATCACCCTTGGAGTCTATAGTCTACTTAACTCAGATTGAAAACTTATCCCTTTTGAATCAAACGTTTTTCTTCCAGCTCTGGAAACAAGTCATACTGAAATTTCAGTAATAAGCTGTTATCACTGGTTGTCTGTATTAAATTATGATATTTTTTCATATATTTATGGTATTTCAGTCTTCTTTTGTCAATTGTTTCAATAAAATATTTTATGTTTTTGTGTCACAAATATGTAAAAGTATTATAAAAAGTTAATTATTTTTTTGTATGGCTTTGTAAAACAGTATTAAGATATTGGTATTTTTTTTTTACTGTAGTCACTGGTAGATTATCAGAGAAATTTTATGGTGTCACATACATACCAATAGTATTATAAGAACCTTATATTGGGTGTAAACTTGTTTCAAAATATGTAAATACATAAAATTCTTTAAAACAAATGGTCATTTATATGTTGGATAAAGCACGGCACTGAGGTTAGGCTGGTGAAAGAAAGACTGAAGAAAATAACCTGAGAAAAAGAAAAACCGAGGCCGACAGGGTTTTCAAGGGTTTTTTTCTGAAGTCTTTCTTTCTCAGCGTAAGTTGAGGACTTTATCTTGCTTATAAATCGTCTATGTTTACATGTACGTAAAGTGAGAATATCACAGAATTCCAGTAAGAAATACCTTATATCATGTTTTCTTATGGAAAAAAAACCTACCCTGGAAGAATAAAATTTTTAGAAGAATAACTTCAAATTGTTTATGAAACATTAATAAAAATAATATTAAATTTGGTTAATTTGTAATTCAGCGATTCTTGCCACAATGAACTAAAATAGTTCCTGGAATGTATTTGAAATCCACAATAGATTTAGTTTAGGTCCATCCTACTATGATTTATTATCATAAAAAAAATTCTTGACAGTTTATATTTCAAGATATATTTTTAAAATACATGATTAATATTTTGTTATATATTTTATTGCTTTTGTTGTTTATATACAATTTATCATTTGTTTATTATTATAAAGTATCATATTTATATGGCCATGGTTTGTATGGACGTATGTTGTTTCCACCTTTGTCTGAAGTTTGTTGTTTGTTGGTCAGTCCATAATTCTTCTGATCGCTCTACAGGTCAGAATTTTTGCAGGATAATTCACTGGGTCTTAAGGAAACACCTTTTGAAATTAATAATTATTATTAAATTTTGAAAACATGATATAAATTTTTTTTATCACAAATGATTCCTCCTTTTATTTCCAAATTTATGAAAGCTTGTGAATATACACAGAGTTCATGACAGAATCTCAAAACACTTTGTGGGATTGTTTTCCATATAAATTGTGTTGTGTTTTTTACTTTGTGGAATTGTTCATTGGGGTATAAGGTAGAACCATATATATTTTGGAGGAGTCATCTTTCTGTGCATATTTTGACTTGTTAGTGAGTAAAACAGAGCTCATACATGGATGACTTTGCAACTGGTGGGTTACAAGCCCCCAACCATTTTATCAATTATTTATATGTTTTATATGTACTTATCATTTAAACTTTTGTTTACATACTGACATTTATTCAAATTTATAACCATATCAACTTTAATATAATATTTGCAATTTTACATCTATTTCAAACAAAACAAATAAATACTACAATGAATCATAAAATTTGCCTTAAGCATTTGTAACAAAAAAAGCATGCCCTTTTATTAGTTATTTATGGAAAAGATTAAATATGCTAGTAGACAACCCATGTGGACTGCATGATTTACCTGCTAAGGAAGTGTGTTCGATCATTGCTTTGCAATCTGTCTTTCTGTAATGTGATAATCTGAAATTCATTGTTTATTTATTAATGTATTTATTTTGGCAATTTACAAAGCATTTTTGACTTAGCAGTTCCTTAAAAAATATATATTAACAAATTTATTAAAAAGTAATGATGTACAAATGTACGAATAGAACAAGTGTATAAAAATATTGCACATTTATTATTCACTGATTTTATGCTGCTATTTCCTGTAAGTCTTACATTATATTTTTGAATATTTATTTTTTCTGGTATTATTTATGTACAGTATTAGTAGGTTATATGATTTTATTCACAGGCTCAAGATATACAATAAATAAAATAAAGACAATTGCTTAAAAGAATAAAAAAATTACACTTTTAAAACTGAGTTATTAGAAATTGACTAATGGTCTAAATAAAACTGAAAGAGGTGGTATAATAACATCTCACTTATTCAAGGAATTGATATTTGATTTATGGAGTGTTTTTCTGCCATAAAACTGTTCATTAGCATGGTCAGCATAGCCATATTTTAATGTTCTTTGATCTCACAGGAAGCATTTTTATAAGGCCATATTGAAATGTAGTCACCTGTTGAGCTTGCCTCTGTCCATTGGTCCCTTTCTGGTTCTACGTCTTCTAACATTTATACATTATTGGCTTCTGTGAAACAAAAAAAAAACCGAATTGAGTTTCATGTGGAATGAGTATATGAATATGTTATTAAAATCGGTTATTATGTTTTGCACCCCCTTTCAATTGGGGAAAAATCAAGTACCCGGTACATGTATTGATAGATTCTGGTCTTCATTACTTCATAATCATACTACTCAACCAGTGTCAAACATATACTGTGGCTCTGATATGCTACAAATCGATTCTAGCATGTTCCACACATCCCCCTGTCCCCTATAACTATATAAATTGGGGTTTTGTGCCTCTGCAGGAATTTGCTCCATTATAGGTTTACTTTGTATTCAGTGAGTGGGGTGGGTGGGTGGATGCCCGAATGGTTAGCATGTGCATGCTGTATCATAAGGCCTGTCAATGAGTCAACTGACATGGTTTCGAATCCCCGGTTGTACGTGACAAGGAGTAGGGTCGCCTGTCCAACCTTGTGGGTTTTGTCTAGGTCCTCGCGGTTTCCTCACACTACTTAAAGACCCCTACGTGCAAGCGAATAATAGAAATAAAATTAAACAATGTTAGTCCCGAAATGACCTAGTTTGTGTCGAGTGGACGTTAAACCACATTTCTCTCTGTGTATTCAGTGAAACAGTGGAGCACCTGACTAATACGCGACATTTCCCTCGGTTATGTGTAGTGCTATAGGATTTCACTGTCTTTAATGCTCTATACTCGCTATAGCCAATCAGCAGTTAAAACCAAAATTGTTGCTCAAAAATGCAAGGAAATTATAGTGAGGCAGTTTAATTTTAATATCTCATTTGCAACATGGAGGGCAGGTGGTCTTTTATTTGTCTATCATTTAACATTGTATATTGGATGAAATAAATACAAACATAAACAAAATATTTTTGTATTTTTTACACATCTGAATACAGCACCTTAATATATTTCTCAATCTGGTTAAAACACAGATCCTATTTCGTTTCGTTTTTATAGTTCAAAATTTCGTTTTACTTGTCTTTACTATGGAATATGGAATATTTTTTATCAAGATATACTTCAAACACCTTTATTTATTTTTCTAATACTAAAAAAAAATGTTTCAGAATTTAATTTGTCGAAAGAAAAAAGTTAATATTTTGTAGTCATTAAGTCGCATCGATGTCATCCTTATCAGTGATTGTAGCGACCAAGCGAATATTCACATTAAAATGAACTCGGATTGATTATTTAACATTTAATTAAGAAAAAAAATATCAAAATATCACCGCTAAATAATCGACAGGTTTCAATAAAGGCCCATCAATTAGATTTTGCGAAACATAAAGATGGCGGTGGTGGTCTTATATCGGAATATCATACGTCATTCTCTTTGCTATGTACATATTTTTAAAATTATTTTGTACCCATATAAATATGGCGGTATATTAGATTCAAAATTCTAAAGTTGTTAAAGCGGAAATTGCAAATTTTCTAAGAAAGTCGAAACGTAATTATTTCTATGTCTTTTGCTCAATAGGTTGTCAACTCACAATTATACGATCATATAGGTGTCATTCTCACACTTAAGATTCATTTACACAGGAAATAATAACACAATTACCTCCCTTATTTTCTATTCTCCACCATGGAGTATCGATATTCAAAAGTTTGAAAGTGAAGAGGAAAATGATATTTTTGCCAATTTCTCAGCTGGCAATAGTGAATTATAGGATTAATAGGATTATTCTTTAACAAGGTAGGACTGTTTATGGATACCATCTATTTTCAGGCTTTATTTTAATAAATTTTAAAAATATAACTTAAAAATTTGCAATTTCCGCTTTAATGTTGCGCTACTGTCTAATTTCTAACTTCTATTCATATAATTTCTAAATCAAGACAATTATAATCCAATTCTTTTATTTGTTCAGCGTAAATTTTAATTATATGTTATTACCAACCTTCAGCATTTATTTTTGCGTGCATATTATGTCCATTACATTGGCAGCCCCTTACATGTCCATGTATACAAGGATAGATTTGCCATCGAATATTAAAGTCATAGTATGGTTAAAACGTGAAGAATCAAGATGTGATGATAAAATATCATTGAAAATATACACCATGGTGTCAGATGCTGTATGGTACATGACTGTTAACTACAGACATAGACCTTATAAGGTGCATGCTACAGCTAAAGCAAGGCTGACACTTGCACGATTCCCTGGCACGCATTGGCACGACTCGAGTCGTGCCAGTGCGCAAACTAGTCATAAACTGGCGTGAAGTGTGCGTAAACCCGTCGTGACTGCGTGCCATGTCGGGACTGCGTGCCATGTCGGGACGAGAATTTTGAAATGTTCAAAATTTTGGTCTCGACAAAATTTAGCGATTGGGTCGTGAACTATGCGCGAACTGTTCGTGAACTCGTCGGGACGATGCGGGAGGATGCGTGCCAGTGCGCGCCATGTCACGACTGTCACGACCTGCCACGAATAGTTCACGAAAACTGCGCAACAGTGGCGTTCGCGTCGGTGCAGGTGTATATATAGGGCTTCCTGGACACTGCTCGCCATTCCAGAGATCGACAGCGAAGAGACAACTTATCAGCACCCCCTGCAGGTGTAGCTCAGTCCTCCATCCACCAGGGATCAGATCATGTGTGTCCGGATCTTCGCAGTCCACTTCTGAAATTGCGTGTGGGTATCTGATGAGGATGAGGTTGTGCAGGACACAGGCGCACATGCTGATCAGGTTGATAGTGTCGGGGTGCTGATGCATCGTCGTCAAGAAGCAACGGAACCTTTGAGACAAAATTCCAAAGGAATTCTCCACGACACGTCGGGCACGAGACAACCTGTAGCTGTAAATGCGTTCTCGTAGGACCTGAGACCGATGGGAGAATGGTTTCATCATCCAGGTTCGGAGAGCAAAGGCGTCATCCCCTACGAAGTGATAGGGCACTGGCTGGTCATCATTAGGGAGTGGTTTTGGTTGAGGCACTCCAGCTCTGTTCTCTTCTACAGCCTCATGCAGGGAACAGTTACTCCATGTTCCTCCATCCGACGCACCACCCTCTGCCCCAACATCCACATAGAGGAACTTGTAGGTAGCATCTGCTACTGCCATCAGAGCAATGCTGTGGAAGCCCTTGTAGTTATAGTAGTAAGATCCAGCATTGGGTGGCTTCTTCATGGCGATGTGCTTGCCGTCCACAGCCCCCCAGACAGTTGTGGTAGTTCCATCTGGAGCTGAACCTGGCAGTAACTTCCTTCCACTCCTCTTCAGTTTTGGGGCAGCGCAGCACTTCGTCCTTGTAGACCGCGATGATGGCTTTACACACCTCGGGTATGAACTTGCAGATGGTACTTGCTTCAACCCTGAAGCTGTACTGCAGACTTGGATAGGAATTTCCAGTGGCTAGGAAGCGGAGGGTGACAGCTAGCTTGAGTCCAACTTGAAGCGGTTCCCTCATGAAGGTGGACTGCTTCTGGAGGCGAGGGGTTAACTTCTCAACCATCTCTTGGAACAGGTCAGGTGTGATTCTGAGGTAATTTGTGTAGCCCCTTTGATCTTCCTTGTGGAGTTCAGTCAGTAAACTGTCATACTGTCCAAACCCTTGCCTTCTGGTCGACCATTCCCTGACACACACTTTCCTTTTTGTCTTTCTTCGAAGTGGGGTTGCCTTTTCTTGCTCTTCTGCCTCTTCCAGCCTTTTCTGCTGCTCTTGAACAATGGGTAGAGCAGCTGCCAGGTATAGGCATCTTCTCTTCCTTGCAATGATTGTGTCTCTGACATTCAGCATGTTGTCTCTTCCACAGCCAATCCAAAAATGACCAGGGGTTGGGGAGGCCCCTTTTTATATGGCGTGCCCAAGTCGGCACGACACCGTCCGAATTGCGCAAACTCGTCGTGCCAATGCGGGAAGTGCGTAAACAATGCGCAATCTATGCGCAAACTCGTCGTGCCAGTTCGTGTCAATGTGGACACTGATGGGCACGCATTCGTGAACTAGTCGTGAACAGTGCGGGAGCCTCCCAGTTCGTGCCCCAAAATGGCACGACTTGCCACGACAAAATCGTGGCCAAAAGTCGTGCAAGTGTCAGCCTGGCTTTACTATAGTACCGTTCGATATGTCGTCAGCCATGCCAATACTATGATGTTCTATATTTCGGTATACGTCTCATTTTCTTAATGGAAGGTCATTGATGTACATTTGTCATTGAAGACGTCAATGTAAAAAAATCACAATTAGATTACCTACACAAAAGTTAATAAATTCACAATCTCTCCGTGATCTATTTAGCACTAACATGAACTATTGTAACTATTGAAACTAATGTTTCCGATGACAGTAGATTTTAACAACCAAAAGTAGCTTACAGGAACATATTATAACAGACTGTAGTCCTTACGGCCATCATCGCAATTCACGTCTATCTCCATTGTTACATGCCCGCCTTCTGTCTTGTAAAGCGGTCTCAGTAACGGTTTGCGTTATGCTTCTACCCGAGATCATTTATAACGGTCAACAATTTATAAACAACAATTCACAAAGTATAATACATAATATATACATGTATATATTAATAGCTTTCATTTAACGGACAACCATACAATATTTTCTAATAATATGAGAAGATAGTGCAGCCTAATTAACTAACTTAAATAATGCATGTGTAACACATATAAACTGTATCTCCAACTCACAGCTATAAACCACAGCTGCTTAGCATTATGTAATACTATTGAAATATCTGATCGTCATTGAGAAATTATTAATTCCTTGCAAACTACGACATTGTGAAAATTTGATCTCTTAAAAACGAATATATCAGTCCAAAAATGGTTCGAATCGAAAATCTGCCAACATTCTGCATCCCCAGGACACGATATAAAATCTAAGGATTGGCCTCTTTATAATCCGAACGGGTGTGCTGCCAGGCAGGGTAAGCTTGTATACTCTTCCGGACACCTGTTACCACTGTTTGTCGTGTATTTTGTACACGAGGAGCAGTCCATTTGCTGATTACACTATTTTGCTTGAATAC